CGCAATATACATTTCCTGTTGAGGGGAACTCATTAGCCATTCCCTTTCAATTGTATATCCAATTAAATGTTTCCTAAATATCAATGAACGAGAAAATAAACTTTTCTGATCTGCAGAAAAGTCAATTTCTGATGAAATATTTTCTTTCGAATAAAGAAAAGTCATCATCATGATGCTGCCGTTACAAGGGAACTTGTTTACAGCAAAAGTCACGTGCCTCCATTCTTACATCATAGTTGGTCTGCCAACCAGTGTCATCTTGATACTCTGATCCTGCGTCACTTTCCGTCTGGCAGACAATCTCTGCCTCAACTTCTGTGGCACTGGCATCCACACAGACGTCTTCAACTCCAAATGCGTTGGTCGTTTTGCCATCACTGGATGCCTGGAAGTCCCAGCTGTGTCTGGGTACAAGTGCCAGGATGAACAACCCAGCAGGTTTTCTTCCTATTGGGGAGGGTTGTACATGCTGCTATGGCGGTATGTTCACTCACAAGATGAGTGGCGCTGCCCAATAAACTCGCCCCTCGGGGCAAAATTAAAAAATTTAAATTTGGATGCCTTTGTTGTTTGATTCTGTTTGCTGCTATGCTGCTGAACCCTTGCATTCAAATCCAAGCTCAAATAAGTTTTGGGATTTACTTAGCAGCACTTCATGCTTCATCTTCCCTTCGTCGTTAATGGTTGTCCTTATCTTTTGCTTCTTCCTCTTTGATGCCTCATCATCTTCCATGACATGATAAATTTGCAAAGGGTAAAACAACTGATCAACATTATGCAAGTTTAATAAAAGAAACCATGAAATAATATTTGCAGTAAAATTTTGGTGACTTTCAACCTTTGGTTTTTCTGCGCCATTGCTAAAAAGAATATATATATATATATATATATATATATATATATATATATATATATATATATATATATATATATATATATATATATATATATATATATATATATATATATATATATATATATATATATATATATATATATATATATATATATATATATATATATATATATATATATATATATATATATATATATATATATATATATATATATATATTAATAATTAAAAAGGAATGGAGTACCACCTCTGGCTGGAAGAAGGGGGACCCTTAGCCTCGCAGGAAACAACACATAACGCATTCTCTCTCTCTCTCTCTCTCTTTCTTGCCTAATTTTTACAGCCTGGTCATAGAGTTCTATAAGTCTGTGAGGCAAGGTTTGCCATCCCCGAACCCAGGCTAGTGATGAGTTTCAAAATTCATTCTCTCCAGATGTACACTAGATTTTTCCCGCCAGGTTCTTCATCGCCTTGCATGGTAAGCACGTTATGAACGCTGGGCAGTAGTTCAGTGTCTCATGTCTGTCTCACTTCTTGCATATTGGGACTACATTAGTCGTCTTCCAAATTGTTGGCAGTTCCCCTGTTATTAGTGACGTTATCCACCATTGAGAGAAGTAGGTATGGTGCTTCTGCTCTCTTTTAGTATCCATGGTGAGATTAGGTTTGTGCTAATAGCCTTTGCCACATCCAATTTATGCAATTGCTGCCTAACCTCCCGCCGGTGATCTCAGTATCCTTCAGTGGTGCCTTGTTGGCTATTCCTTCACTTAGTTAAGGAAGTTCTCGTTGTTCTATTGTGAAGACCTCCTAGAATCTCCAATTTAATTCTTCACACACCTCCTTGTCAGTTTTAGTGAACCTGTCTGCCCCTATCCTCAGTTTCATTACCTGTTTCTTGACTGTTGTTTTCCTTCTGATGTAGTTGTGCAGCAATTTGGGTGCGGTCTTTGCTTTATTTGCTATGTCGTTTTCGTACTGTCTTAATCTGCTTCTCTTCTCATCCTGCGGTACTCGTTCCTGGGTCTCTTCCTCTGCTTTCTAGTGTCTTATTATGTCCATAGTTTCTTCATGCCCTTGTACTTGAATGCTTTGTCAGCTTACATCCAGGATTAAACCGCGGGAACCTCCTTTACTCTTCGTTTCTTTCCTTCATGCTGGAACAAAGTGGTCTGTGTTTTCATCTAGTTATGCTTGCGGGGGTTGAGCTTTGGCCCTTTGATGTACAGATCAACTGGTGTACAGATTCTGGTGTCTATTGGGCTCTATCAAATCTACATTTGAAACTGTGACTGGAGTTTGCCTCCACCACGTCACTGCCTAATGTATTCCATTTGTTAACTACTCTGACACTGGAAAAAATGTTTTAATGTTTCTGTGGTTCATTAGGGTATAACGTTTCCACCTACATCCCCTTGTTCGTGTTCCACCCGTGCTAAATAGTTTGTCTTTATCCACCCATTCAATTCCCCTGAGAATTTTGAAGGTGGTTATCTATCATGCCTTCCCTTTATCTTCTGTCTTCCAGGGATGTGAGGTTTAGCTCCCGCAGCCTTTCCTCGTACCTCATACTTCTCAGTTCTGGGACTAGTCTGGTGGCATTCCTATGCCATCAAATGTGTGTGCTTCTCCATCACACATCTGTCATCACATGTGTGTGTGTGTGTGTGTGTGAGTGTGTGCCTGAACACTTACTTACTTTAGATGATGTGTGTGAGGCCGTATTAGGGCCCCTGGCAAGGAATTCCTTAGGTATAATTAAAGCGCACCTTAAAGAGAGGTTACAGCCTCTATCAACCTCAGATTACCTGACTCCTTCTCTTATTTCCTACTTCCTGGCTCCGTGGGTCTCCTGGTCACTGTCCATTCTTCCTCTCTTACCCAAAACTTTCCCCATTCCCCCATTCCAGACCACCATCCTACTCCTCCACCAAAACAACCTACCTATTCCCTGACCTATTCCCCTAAGCCATACCCCCCTCATACTATCCCTAAGGTACCTATCAACCATCCCCTTGGCCCGCGTCCACGGTCCTCGACCACACGATTGCGGGTCCTCTCGGCCTCGCCTGAGTAAGCTGCATCCCCCGATCGGGGCCCCTCGGCGGGTGTTGGGGGGGTCACAGGCAGCGCGGCCGGGTGGAGCGAGCAACACCACTATGTACCCTACTGCTGCTTCCCCTTCCCTATTCCTCCCTCAGCAACCCGGTGCACTGGGCAGGGAGATCAGCAATGAAACAAGAGGATCACGAATGGAACAAGAGGATCAGCGGTGATACAAGAGGATCAGTAGTGGAACAATAAGATCAGCGGTGATACAAGAGGATCAGTAGTGGAACAATAAGATCAGCATTGGAACAAGAGGATCAGTAGTGGAACAATAAGATCAGCATTGGAACAAGAGGATCAGTAGTGGAACAATAAGATCAGCAGTGGAACAAGAGGATCAGCAGAGGAACAAGAGGATCAGCAGAGGAACAGGAGGATCAGCAGGAGAACAAGAGGATTAGCTGTGAAACAAGAGGACCATCAGTGAAACAAGAGAATCAGCAGTGGAAAAAGAGGATCAGCAGTGGAACAAGAGGATCAGCAGTAGAAAAAAGGATCAGCAGTGAAACAAGTGGAACAAGAGAATCAGCAGTGGATCAAAATGATCAACAGAGGAACAAGAGAATCAGCAGTGAAACAAGACGAACGGCAGTGAAACAAGGAGACCTGCAGTAAAACAAGAGGATCAGCAGTGAAACAAGAGGATCAGCAGTGAAACAAGAGGATCAGCAGTGAAACAAGAGAATCAGCAGTGAAACAAGAGGATCAGCAGTGGAACAAGAGAATCAGCAATGTAACAAGGAGACCAGCAGTGAAACAAGAGGATACAGCAGTGAAACAAGAAGATACAGCAGTGAAACAAGAGGATAAGCGGTAGAACAAGAGGATCGGCAGTGGATCAAAAGGATCAGCAGTGAAACAAGAGGATCATAAGAGAAACAAGAAAATCAGCAGTGGAATAAGAGAATCAGCAGTGGAATAAGAGAATCAGCAGTGCAATTAGAGGATCAGCAGTGAAACAAGAGGATCAGCTGAGAAACAAGAGGTTCAGCAGAAAAACAAGAAAACCAGCGGAGAAACAAGACGATCAACAGTGAAACAAGAGGATTCAGCAGTGGAACAAGAGGATCAGAAATGAAACAAGAGGATCAGTAGTGAAACAAGAGGATCAGCAGTGAAACAAGAGGATCAGCAGTGAAACAAGAGATTCAGCAGTGAAACAAGAGGATCAGCAGTGAAACAAGAGCATCAGCAGAGGAACAAGAGGATCTGCAGTGAAACAAGAGGATCAGCAGTGAAACAAGAGGATCAGCAGTGAAACAAGAGGATCGGCATTGGATCAAAAGGATCAGCAGCGGAAAGGAGGATCAGCAGTGAAACAAGAAGATCAGCAGTGAAACAAGAGGATCAGCAGTGGAACAAGAAGATCGGCAGTGGATCAAAAGGATCAGCAGTAAAACAAAAGGATCATGAATGGAACAAGAGGATCAGCAGTGAAACTAGAGGATCAGTAGAGGAACAAGAGGATCAGCAGTGAAATAATAGGATCAACAGTGAAACAAGAGGACCAGCAGTGAAACAAGAGGATCAACAGTGAAACAAGAGGATCAGCAGTGAAACAAGAGGATCAACAGTGAAACAAGAGGATCAACAGTGAAACAAGAGGATCAGCAGTGAAACAAGAGATTCAGCAGTGAAACAAGAGATTCAGCAGTGAAACAAGAGGATCAACAGTGAAACAAGAGGATCAACAGTGAAACAAGAGGATCAACAGTGAAACAAGAGGATCAACAGTGAAACAAGAGGATCAACAGTGAAACAAGAAGATCAGCAGTGTGAGAGCAGTTGGGTGGAAGGTGAAGAAGGGGGGAGGTGAGTGTGTGTGTGTGTGTGTGTGTGTGTGTGTGTGTGTGTGTGTGTGTGTGTGTGTGTGTGTGTGTGTGTGTGTGTGTGTGGAGTTGTTGGAGCCGCCCATGGAGCGGGAAGGGGCGGGGTTTGAGGCGGTGTGGGCGGTGCCTGGGCGGCTCGCACACGTGGTTGGGCTGGGGCGGTGTTGGCCTGGGCGACCAGCTCCCACTCAGTGAGTGCTGAGCCGCGATCGTGCCTTCATGTGCCTTCTCTACCAGCTGCCGATGTGCCGCTCATTTTTCCTCCACTAAGGATTGTCTCCGAGTCCTCGGCAGCGCACGTGTGTATAACTGAGTACCCGGCCTCTTCTCTTCGCAAGCTGCTCAGCACGGAGTAGTCGACTGTGCATTGCCAAAAAGATTTTTTTCTCTCTATGGGCGGTTTCGAATTTGCATCTCTGCTGAGGTGATCCAGGAAGGCACAGCAAGGTCCTTATGACTGAGCTGCGAGGGCTGCTGAAGGTTCACTCACCTTGGTACTCTTAGTACCTCTTCGCTACCAGCACCGACTCTGTCGTAGAGACCTGCCAGTGAACAACGGCTGTGTGGAGGTGAGGTAGATGCTACGAGTCACCGGTCAAATCTCGTCTCTGTGTGTGCCCTCGTCTACCAGCTGGCAAAAATAACTATACAATTTATTCATTTCTCCAGTGAAAAGCGCTGTGACAGGGATGAGGATCCGACTCCACTAGCAGGCAAGGCACTATAAAACGGTTTAGCCATTTTCCCAGACGATTGTGAGCGATTTATCAGATATATATATATATATATACAAAGTGGTGGCAATGATTTAAAAGCATAAGAAAATGAGTGATGTGCATTCAAAGTGTGGTGTGAGTAGTGTGGTGTAAGGGCAAAGTGTGGTACCAGAACAATGGTGGAGAATATGGTGCTCTGTGAACAACCGCGGGGTCATTGCCCCCTCCACCACCATAAGAAGCCAACCTTCGTACTCTTTCAGGCACATCTGTAGTCTTTTGCGATCATATTTTCTTCATTTTACTTTTCTTATTTTCAGTTTACTCATCTCCTGTTTCCTCTAGTGCGTCAGCACCACAGAGTAATGGACATACACATCTGTGATGGGGTATTAATCCTGATTTGAAAGTTTGTGAGCGGGAAGAAGATCTATTGTTGGCCCCTACTGGAGCTGTTTGGGTAAAGTGAGTGCCTAGTCTAGTCCAGTAGACTGGTTACAACTTGAGTTCCTATTAAGACCTCAGCTGTTGCTCCGCAGCGGAATCGATCTTCACGCAATTTTCATCCCACGCGTTGCGTATCTGTGAAATTATATATATGTATCATTCCAAGGATTTACAAATTGAAAAAAAGTTATTATTATAAAATGCTTATACTTATTTGGTGAATATATTTGCAGAAGAAAAACTCAGTTGCTCAGTGTGTTTCAAGTTCATTTTTCTTCCGGAGAAAACCAAAACAATTCCATATCAGTGGTTAGATATTACTGTATATTATGATGACCTGGTGACGTGGTGAGCCCCAGCACAGGTGTGAGCAGGTGAGCAAAGGCACCTGTAGAGGTAGGGGGGAGGAGGAGGAGGAGGGGACCTCTTGTCTGCACCAAGATGGACTCCATCTGGTCCACCCGTCGCTATGCACCCGTTACCGTTGACATCGACCTCCTCACGCTCAAGGGAAAGAAAATCCTGAAGGCAGCGTCGGAAAAGACCAAACGGACGAAGGCGCCACAGTACCTACACAAGAACCACTCACACCCGCAGATACAAATGGACCCGACGGAAGGACAGCCGCTGAAACAGACCTTGGATCTTCCAGACATTGCACCGTAAGTGACCTTATATATCACTCTTCAATACACACAGAAATCACAATAGCGTGATGCATCATATGAACAAATCCACAAGGGCCGTGACGAGGATCCTCGTCATGGCTCTTGTGGATTTGTTCATCACTCTTCAATCCCTTGTCCAGCTACCAAGGTATATTCTGGTAAAATATATTTTCCATGTCCATTAATATATTTCGCGAATTCTCCCAAATAATCATATTATTACCAAGTACAATGCCTATGATCCAATGCTGAGGCCGTTTAAGCCATTAAGGAGAGTATACAGATCCTAAGCAAGTAATTAGGTAATGGAGATAATCGACCAAAAAGTTTCCAATAAGAGATAAGATGTTCCCATTTGGTCTAACTTGGTAACCTGGGGCCAGATTCACGAAGCAGTTACGAACGTGTACATCTTTCCTCAATCTTTGATGGCTTTGGTTACATTTATTAAACAGTTTACAAGCATGAAAACTTCCCAATCAACTGTTGTTATTGCTATAAACAGCCTCCTGGTGCTTCGGAGCTCATTAACTGTTTAATAATTGTAAACAAAGCCGTCAAAGACTGAGAAAAGATGTACAGGTTCCTAAGTGCTTGCGTAACTGCTTCGTGAATCTGGCCCCTGTAAACTATATATGCTGATCGTGTTATCCAGGTACGCGACACTGGCTATGGTTTTAACTTCGTGTCATCTAGGAAGACTATGAATTTTCTCCAGAATTTATAATGCATCCGTGTCGTCCCAGAGACTCCTATCACCTATATTTTCCTGGAATCCCGCGTCACTGGTCAATTTTTCAAAAAACACAATCTCGTAGCAAGTTTTTTCCCTAACGCTAGATACTTTGTCACTATTCCCATGCACCTTTCCTTAAATTTCCTGTCATCTGTAATTATGGTCTGGAGATTCAGTCACAAGAAGTGGCTGCATCTTTCTGAATTCCTGTTGGCAAATATAAAAATACTTTTAAATATGGCTCTACTTTCTCCTTCACGTAAACTATCTTCAGTCTCATGAAACTAAATATAAGCGACATACATCGTATGAAAAAGCTTATTTTCTGGAAACATTCTTGCCTGGCAATATGAAAGCAGCAGGATAAGAGATAACCGGAAACTCCGGAGTCCTCGCCTTGAGGAACCAAGCGATCACAGTTAACACAGTGCTATCTTGGTAACGCTTCCTGTGTCTAGAGAGTGATAAGATTAGCTAGATGGGGTGGTAGCTGCTGCCTCAGGGTAGCACAATGTCATCCGTTCACCATTGTGTGTGTTAGTGCACGAGAATGGTCGAGTGCCGTCTATACATCACCATATGTGTGTGTGTTGCTTCCCTTAACGCGGGGGATATTATTTAAATAATACGTACAATAATGGGTTTTCTTGTTACTCTGTACTTGGAGACAGAGAGACGCTTTTGGTTGCCTCGAGATCAATGAGACATGCCTAGGCTTGGGGAGGTACACCATATATTATATATATATATATATATATATATATATATATATATATATATATATATATATATATATATATATATATATATATATATATATATATATGCAACAATGATCACAAAAACACTGATCCTAGTATGCAGAAAAACCACACGTGAAAAATAGAGAATGCTTAACACGTTTTCGGCTAATTCGCCTTCATCAGAGCAGAGTAGAATGAAGGCTTCGCTTCAGTCACTTCATTCTACTTTGCTCTGATGAAGGCGAATTAGCCGAAAACGCGTTAATCATTCTCTCTTTTTCACATGTGGTTTTCTGCATATACATATATATATAAAGAGTTAAATCTTCTTCATCTGGGAAGGAAGATGAAAATTTGCAAAAAGATCTATCTCCAAAGTTCTTTATACAATTGTCTTAGGCCTGACGTATGTTGCTGAAGGGTGCGTTGCCTTTAAGATCTCTTGAACTGAGGCAGCGAATACAGTGTTGTTGTTTGTTTTAGACTCAGATACTCGGAACCCAAAGTCCCAGGTAGCACGGGCAACGGTGATCCCGTTGTACTTACCTGGCACAGGAGCGGGTCTCCCTCTGAGTCTTGAGTCGAGATTTTACAACAGTGGTTCTCAAAGGATGTTCTAGCTCGCTTCACAGGAGCGTCGAGAGGAGGGCAAGTGTGATGGGAAGATTTAGGGTAACTCAAAGGTATATCGTCGTGAGCGAGGATTTTCATCACTGACAAATATTGAAGACAATAAGGGATTTTTTGTGCTGATGACGAGATGAGAGTTGATGGCTTTAAGTTGGACTTAATATAGATGATATTACCGGACATATGCAAGCTTCATATTTCACATTTAGGAAAGTAAGGTGTACATAGGAGTAAGCTTAGTAATCCTCACTTGCTCCCTTCTCATATTAAAGGCACTTGCTGTGTGTGTATGAATGCTTGTGTGTGTGTGTGTGTGTGTGTGTGTGTGTGTGTGTGTGTGTGTGTGTGTGTGTGTGTGTGTGTGTGTGTGTGTGTGTGTGTGTGTGTGTGTGTGTGTGTGTGTGTGTGTGTGTGTGTGTGTGTGTGTGTGTGTGTGTGTGTGTGTGTGTGTGTGTGTGTGTGTGTGTGTGTGTGTGTGTGTGTGTGTGTATGAATGCTTCTGTGTGTGTGTGTGTGTGTGTGTGTGTGTGTGTGTGTGTGTGTGTGTGTGTGTGTGTGTGTGTGCGTGTGTGTGTGTGTGTGTGTGTGTGTGTGTGTGTGTGTGTGTGTTTACTAGTTGTGTTTTTACGGGGGTTGAGCTTTGCTCTTTCGGCCCGCCTCTCAACTGTCAATCAACTGTTTACTAACTACTTTTTTTTTTCTACACCACACACACACCCCAGGAAGCAGCCCGTGACAGCTGACTAACTCCCAGGTACCTATTTACTGCTAGGTAACAGGGACACTTAGGGTGAAAGAAACTTTGCCCATTAGCGTGTGTGCACATTAGCACATTGTGTGTGTGTGCGTGTGTGTGCGTGTGTGTGTGTGTGTGTGTGTGTGCGTGTGTGTGTGTGTGTGTGTGTGTGTGTGTGTGTGTGTGTGTGTGTGTGTGTGTGTGTGTGTGTGTGTGTGTGTGTGTGTGTGTGTGTGCGTGTGTGTGTGTGTATGGGATTGCATTCTTCTAGATGTTCTTGCGTAGATTTATTTATAGAGTCAAGCGTCAGTTCTTAAGCTCCGACAAGAATGGTTTAAAACTTTCTTCCTGAGTTTATTGATTTCGGATTTACATTTAGTTAACTCCAGTTATGTACGATTTTGAATCTGATCAAGTAACTTTCTAACTTCTCTGTGACGTTTTTGGGCCTTTACTTTCTAAGTATGTTCTAGCGTTCTTCAGTTCCTTACTTTTATAAACATTTCTTTGTTTTCTACTTGGTCAGTTCCTCTACAAATCTTGAAAGTAGCTAACATGTCACCCCTGTTGCTCCTTTCACTGTGTGATTTGGTCCAGATTTCATATACATTCCTATTAACTATTGAACGAGCCCTATTACGTATATTTTGATAATTTCAAATGTTTCATTTTTCCTATTTGTGTGTGCGTGTGTGTGTTTGTACACACCTATCTGTGCTTGCGGAGGTTGAGCTTTGGCTCTTTGGTTCAGCCTCTCAACTGTCAATCAACTGGTGTACAGATTCCTGAGCCTACTGGGCTCTATCATATCTACATTTGAAACTGTGCATGAAGTCAGCCTCCACCACATCACTGCCTAATGCAATCCATCCATTAACTACTCTCACATTGAAAAGTTCTTTTTAACGTCCCTGTGGCTTATGTGGGTACTCAGTTTCCATCTGTGTCCCCTTGTTCGCGTACCACCAGTGTTGAATAGTTTATCCTTGTCTACCCGGTCGATTCCCCTGAGGATTCTGTAGGTTGTGATCATGTCTTCCCTTACTCTTCACTCTTCCAGTGTCGTAAGGTGCATTTCCTGCAGCCTTTCCTCATAACTCATGCCTCTTAATTCTGGGACTAGTCTAGTGGCATACCTAGTGGCATATATACCTTCGTCTTGTGCTTGACAAGGTACGGGCTCCATGCTGGGGCCGCATACTCCAGGATTGGTCTTACATATGCAGTATACAAGATTCTGAATGATTCCTTACACAGGTTCCTGAAGGCTGTTCTGATGTTAGCCAGCCTCGCGCATGCGTGTGCGTGTGTGTGTGTACTCACCTAATTGTACTCACCTAATTGTGCTTGCGGGGGTTGAGCTCTGGCTCTTTGGTCCCGCCTCTCAACCGTCAATCAACTGGTGTACAGATTCCTGAGCCTACTGGGCTCTATCATATCTACATTTGAAACTGTGAATGGAGTCAGCCTCCACCACATCACTTCCTAATGCATTCCATTTGCTAACTACTCTGACACTGAAAAAGTTCTTTCTAACGTCTCTGTGGCTCATTTGGGTACTCAGCTTCCACCTGTGTCCCCTTGTTCGCGTCCCACCAGTGTTGAAAAGTTCGTCCTTGTTTACCCGGTCGATTCCCCTGAGGATTTTGTAGGTTGTGATCATGTCCCCCCTTACTCTTCTGTCTTCCAGTGTCGTGAGGTGCATTTCCGCAGCCTTTCCTCATAACTCATGCCTCTTAGTTCTGGGACTAGTCTAGTAGCATACCTTTGGACTTTTTCCAGCTTCGTCTTGTGCTTGACAAGGTACGGGCTCCATGCTGGGGGCCGCATACTCCAGGATTGGTCTTACATATGTGGTGTACAAGATTCTGAATGATTCCTTACACAGGTTCCTGAACGCCGTTCTGATGTTAGCCAGCCTCGCATATGCCGCAGACGTTATTCTCTTTATGTGGGCTTCAGGAGACAGGTTTGGTGTGATATCAACTCCTAGATCTTTCTCTCTGTCTGTTTCATTAAGTACTTCATCTCCTATTCTGTATCCTGTGCCTGGCCTCCTGTTTCCACTGCCTAGTTTCATTACTTTGCATTTACTCGGGTTGAACTTCAACAGCCATTTGTTGGACCATTCACTCAGTCTATCCAGGTC